GGGAGGGGGGGCGTGCATGTGTATGTCCATGTCGATCGAAGTCGTTTATAGAAACGGGGAAAACAAACAGCATTATCAAAGCACGATACCTTATTCCCCGCAGAGCCGGACCCTGTCAAAGTCCTGACAGTTCGTCATGTGGACCTGAAGGTTCCGGCTAACACAAAGGCTCACAGAACTGACGAGTATGACATCTGTGGCTCACACCAGGAGAAACCGAAGCTCGTGGTCAGGAGGGGTCAACCTTTCAACATTGAGCTGGAATTCTCCAAACCGTATGACAGCAAAGCAGATGATCTTCGCATCGTTTTTGAAGCTGGTGAGTTGTCATTTGTCACGTTGTTTTCAGGAGGGGAGGGGGGGGGTTGTTTTGATGTTGTTGTTGTTGTTGTTGTTGTTGTTGTTGTTGTTGTTGTTGCTGCTGCTGCTACTGCAGCAGCTATTGTTCTTGTCACGGTTGGGTTTTTGTTCTTGTTGTTTTTCTGTTTTTAGGGGGTGTTCTTGGAAGGGGAGGGGGCGGCTTAGCGTTTTGTTTTGGGTATTTTTCCGCGTTTTTTTAGGAGGGGGGGGTGATTCTGTTTCTCATTGTTGTTGTTTTGTTCTGTTTTGTTTTGTTTATTTGTTGTTTTTAGGAAGCTTCTATATGTGCATGTATATGTATGTGTATGTGTATGTGTATGTGTACGTGTTCGTGTATGTATATGTGCATGTGTATGTGTTTGTGTATGTGTATGTGTATGTGTACGTGTATGTGTACGTGAATGGGCATGTGTATGTGTATGTGTGTACGTGCTTGTGCACGTGCATGTGTATGTGTATGTTTGTACATGTAAGTGTACGTGCATGTGAATGTGTATGTGCATTTGTATGTGTATGTGTATGTATGTGTATGTGTATGTGTTCGTGTATGTATGTGTATGTGTATGTGTATGTGCATGTGTATGTGTATGTGTGTACGTGTATGTGTACGTGCATGTGTATGTGTATATGTATGTGTACGTGCAAGTGTACGTGTATGTGTATGCGTACGTGCATGTGTATGTGTATGTGTGTGTGTGTGTGTGTGTGTGTGTGTGTGTGTGTGTACGTGCGTGTGTATGTGTATGTGTAAGTGTGCGTGCATGTGTATGTGTACGTGTATGCGTACATGCATGTCTATTTATACGTATATGTGTACGTGCATAATGTGTATGTGATACTACGTCTAGTAACGATTCCCTCCCAAAACTCTCTCAGGTGAAAACCCTTCCCCTACTAAAGGAACCGACGTGCAGTTCATACTTTCTGATGTGGACAAACCCAAGGAATGGGGCGCTAAGATCCTGAGACAACAGGTGACTAGACATAACGTAACTGCCCCCTTTGTCAGTTAACTTGACAAAAAGTAGGATCATCCGGAGTAGAAACAAGGACGTCCGGGTGTCTAGAAAGTATTTGTTATGTTTCGGGAAGAATGAGCTTGGTCTTTTTTTTTGGTCACGTTGTGGTTTTGAATTTGTCAAACTGCAGCCCCAAAAGTAACCAATAATTGCTTTTTTTGTACGTGTTTTACGGTACTCGCAATTGTATAAGGTCAGATGGGTTCACGAGAGACGTTAAACACCTTAAATATTTCAGTTTAGTAGGAATTAATTTTGAGTTTTGCCCGGGTGGCGACTGACACCTGCTCTTATCGATTTTGGACCTCCAAGGGATGTTTAACATGCATAACTTCCTCACGGGACCTCCAATATTTGTCGCCTTTTTCCGAGAAGGCTAGGTGTTAGGTTTTGACTACCCGAAGATCAGGGGTGTGGCTGAAAGACAGCAGTAAGAGGGAGCCAAGGAGTAACAGTAGAAAGGCTGCAATAAGAGCAGGAGCGCAGAAGAGGGGGCTAAGGGGGAGAGGCGGGGACACACATTGCAGACGAAAGCAGTCGACGGAACATTGTTGGAGAGCAGGAAAGGGGGTGAAAAGAGAAATTGTTTAGAGAAGAAAATTTTTCTGTCACTGTCAGGTTTCGAACATGTTGGCTGTTGAATGAGAGGCAAACACAGTAACCTTTTGACCACGAGAGTCCCCTAATCAATTGATGATCTCCCGCGATACAACATGACTATGAGTGATCAAGTTCTGGAGAGTGTTTTGTTTTGTTTTTTTGTATTTCAGAACCAAGACACTCCTCTATAATGTCCTGCCCGCCCCTTTCCCCTGCACACACACACACACACACACACACACGCGCGCGCGCACACGCACATACACACATACACACACACACACACACACACACACACACACACACACACATACTCAAAGAAGATACTCAGGGAGGCGAATTCTGGGTGGGTGGAGAATGAATCCACCGAAGCTTTGCCTAAGCAACAAGAAATAACCTCACCACCTACCCCTACCACTTTCTCTCTCCCTGCACTCTCAGTGTAGGACTTTTCTCTGAAATGATTTATGTCAAGCGGAATATTCGACTAGCAAAACAAAACCGCTTACAAATAAAGTAACTGAAGTGCGGTATTCTGGTATAACGTTTCGTTGTCGCACGCACAAGATTTGAGTTCGGTTTCGTAGAAAGAACGGGGTTTTTTTGTTGTTGTTTTGTTTTTTGTTTCTTTAATTGAATATACGTGTCTGCCTACTTGGACGTCGTATCCTTTCTCATTACGGCTCGGTCTTGTTAGGCATGGCGGGAACAGCCTGCCTCCTAAGGGGTTTAACTTGTGTTGATTGGAAAGTAAAATATGTACAAAGTTTACAGTTACAAATATAATTAAATTTGTCCACCATTGGGGACTAAGAAATTTAATGGTCTCATTTTCTTACCTCAGGGAAATACATTGACGGTTACTTTGTTCACCCCACCCACCTGCTACGTGGGCAAGTGGAATCTCAAGTTGGACGTGGTCAAGAAAGACAACAGCGATGTGAACATCTATCGCTACGAGCACAAGGCCCCTATCTACATTCTGTTTAACCCGTGGTGCAGAGGTAAGTGGCTCGGTTGAGATCAAGTAAGATCGTAACAAATCGACACACTAATCACAAACACACAAGCAGTAGTACTAGAAAGAGGTATAAGTATAGCCACTCTTTTCAACTATGGAAAAAACATTAAAAAGCATCAATTGTATAGTATGCATGTGTATTTGGTTTCGGCTTTGGTGTCTCTTCTCTGCTTTTTTTTTTTGCTGTTGTATTTTTTTGTTTTCCTTCTTCTTCACTGTAACCAAAAAGCTAAGTACAACGTGATCAAAATTACCTGTTTATGTCAAGTCAGAAGGTATTCTCATGGATTTATATATTTATTATATACCGACCCCCCCCCCCACACACACACACACACTCACAATTCTAGAAGCATCGGTAACCTAGTGGTTAGTCTACAGGTCTCGTAATCGGGAGGTTGCGTCTTCGGGGGTTCGAGCCTCAGTTCGGTCCGACGAGATGTCCTTGGGAAAGGCACTTTTCACGTAATTTCTATTTTGTTCGGTCCTTTCGGAGATGGACGTTAAACTCGGAGGTCTCGCCTCTTAAATAACTTAATAGTGTTGATAGAGGCGTTCAACACATACCATTTCACCATTTTCACCTTACATTCTAACTTGACAGGATTATTCTACTGGTGGGTCAAGCACATTTAAAGTCCACCTCTGACAGAGCATTGGTAGAATCGTGGAGTACAAAGAACCCCCCCCTCCAACCCAGAAAATTGGTGAAGTCTATGAATGCCTTATAATGAATAAGAGATTCAAACCAGAGTCAGCCGTAGCACTGTCCAGCATCATTTCAACTCACCCAACAGTACGAAATTTTATCCGTCAAGATCATGTGAACTATCAATGACTCATAAGTGTCATATCTAGAATGGACATTAACGAGCATGGTTCTTTATTCATCTTTCCTCTCAGATGCTCTAGAACAAAAACTAAAACAACTGAAATATCGTGTATTATCCTGGTGTTTCCGCGTCACCCATCCGATCAATTCTCCGAATAAGTTGTTCTGTGTCTATCTTTGCCTCGTTTGCCCTCTATTTTCTTCAGTGAAAACAAGATGCTCACAAGCCTTTATGGCTTTGAATGAAACCTTAAAAAACTAAACAATTTTTTGGGTGGGGGGTTACTTTATTTCGGTAGATGATACAGTGTTTCTGGATGACGAGCGACTGTTGCAGGAGTACGTGCTCAACGAGAGCGGCAAGATCTACTCCGGCAATAGCAGACAGATCACCAGCAAACCCTGGAACTTTGGACAGGTACTCTCGCCATCTGATTCTGTTGAATTACATCATGGTGAAAGTCCCCTTGTCTAAATAATCAAATCGAAGAAACAGGCATATTTTTGCGAGTTTGGCAAATTTTAACGATATCTTTTTTTTTTTTACCTCAATACCTTTTATGTTCATATAAAAACACATTTCCATGTGTATTTGCTTGCATAAAGTTGATTAAAGGCAAAAACTGTGTAATTTTTAAGCTTTCAAGAACTCTCAAGCTGTTCAAATTTACGAGACTTTAGCGGCCATTTTCTCTCTAACTTTTGCCACTGCAAACTGGCGAACCTTCCTCTTTCATTCGCAAATATATTGGTCTCTATTCTAGATAGAAGGGTATTTTTTTTCATTGAAATCAAGAAAAGGGATTAAGCATTTAGATGATGCCAATGACCCCACATTCCCAAAAACTGACGAGCGCCTGATTCCACCGCGTCGTAACACAATAATTGGTTCTCTCCTGCTTTGCTGAAGTGTTGAATTGGAATCCGGCCATAGACAGCGAATGATCTTGTCAGCATGTTAGTGTTTTAGCGCCTATAAATAGCGACTTACACTGTATGCTTCCCAGAAAGCTGAGATTGTTTCAGAATGCTAGGGCAACAATAATATAGATATAAAGCGCAAAGAACTTGCTGTCGAGCGGGAATTTGCGCTATACAAATGCTATCTATTATTTATCATCATTATACATAATAATTCCCAGGGTAAGAGACTAAGAGCGAGGGAGGTGTTAAGAGGAGAGGATTGTTTTGGGTTTAGGTATAGATACCACCATTTCCTTCAGGGTTTTTTTTAAAAATCATCCTTGATCCACAGTTCGAAAGCTGCGTGCTAGATGTGGCTATGTACCTCCTAGACTCCAACAATATCCAGTGGCCTGTTCGAGGAAACGCGATCAATGTTGTCAGGAAAATCTCCGCCGTGGTAAGTGCAGCATTTTTGTTTTTTTACAATTAATGCGCAGGTGTGTGGTTTTTTATACCCCTATTAACACAATGCAGATCATTTATGAGGTTTCGACCCAACCCATCTGAACACCCCAGCATAAAGACTGACTTACTCTATTAAACTTTTTCCCTCTCGGAAGTCAAACTTGGGTATCCTGTGTGCGACAGCGAAGAGGTGCCTTGACGCTATACCAAAATGTCTTTGCACCAATTTTCAAAGTTGCATTGTTTAAAACATGTCTGCAAACAGCCCAGGAGTGTTTCTGTGAGTGTATATGTGTGTGACGAACGCCTGATTCCACCGCGTCGTGACACATTAATGACTCAAAAGTGTCGACATTTTGTGTATTTGGATAGAAGAAATTGGTTGGGATGCGGGGTGAGGGGATGGGGGCTGAGTAGCCAACTCTGTAGCTTGGTTGCGTCTCCATTTTATAATAAATGCAGTGTGTAGTTTTCACAGAAGAGATGGATTTACGAACGTAAAAGTGAAAATACTGTGTCGAAACTTTAATATGATCTTCTCGTAACCTAATTGGGCTTTTTCGAGGTTTTTGTTTGTTTAATTTTTGTTGTCGTAATTTTTCATTCGGATCATTTAGATGTAGGCGTCGACAGTGTCCCAACTTTTGGTCAGCCTTATGAGCAACAGTGGTCGTCTTTTAATTCATATTTTCTCTTGAGCAAAAAAAAGTCGAAAGCAAGGCCATATTAGCTCAAAGATTACGAAGCGCCCGTTCAACCGGTGCACAACATCACTCGTTTCTTTTTCCGTTAATAAGTCAAGACAAAAAAAAACAACTACAAAGAAGCACTGGTGAATCCATCTTGTCTTTGATAGAACTGTACGTTTATTGCACAGGTATTCATTTCTTTTCAGCTTGGTGTTTGCTTTGTACCAACAGATTATATTGAAGTTGGGCTACGGGGAAGTCTTTGACGGTGGAACATTAGAAGACAAAATTGTCTGTGTACAAACGTTGAATTCGAGGAACTAACGTCGAGCCCCGTGTGTCAGTAGTCAATCATGAGTGAGCTTAGTCAACTAGATCTACCATGTAAACATACTTTGTGAGTGGTTGGTGGGTGCTCTAGTGTGGTTAGCTTCTTCTGTCCTATTAAACATCTTCATCCTTATCATTCCACCTTCTTTTTGTGTTTGTTACTCTCTTGTAGCACGTTACCTCTAATATTCGGCACGTACATGACGTTGTGTTGTAAGTGCCTTAACACTTACTAAAACTAAAACAAAATGTACTTCAGAAAACAGAAAAGGCTGTACATGTTTGCGCGGCAGCATCATCGGGTTTTTTTTTTTCGTTCTCTTGTATAGGTCAATGAGCAAGACGATTACGGTGTGCTGGTGGGCAACTGGTCAGGTGACTATAGCGATGGTGATTCCCCTCTCAGCTGGACCGGCTCTGTGGCCATCTTGGAGTCGTACTGGGACAGCAAGCGGCCGGTTCGCTACGGACAATGTTGGGTCTTCTCCGGTCTCTGTACCACGAGTAAGTCTCTCGGTCTAAAAGTAAGATTTGATTGTAGATTCACATTCGTAAAAATCAGTTGCATTGCGAGTTGAAGAATAAGCAGTCGACTACCCCTGAGATTTAACTGGGGATTGCAAAGAAGAAGAAGAAGAAGAAGAAGAAGAAGAAT